GTTAACTTGCTTGAATCCTGGCAGTGAAATGAAGTGATGAACCGATACTAAAGAGTGATCTATTCCTCATGGAGGCCGGGTAGGGAGGAGTTAACAGCGTGCTGCTCCTCTGCTCTCCGCTTGATGACATCAGTATTGTCTCTGCATCCATGAAATTAATTTTTCTAATCTTAGTCAGCAGGAGCGGGGGAATTTGCACACATTAATATGGAACTCGATCTGTACTCGCCCACTGCTGCAGTCTCTCTTCTCCTCTTTCTCTCTCCCCCTCTCCTTCTCGCCCATCTCTTCTCTTTGCACCCTTTCTATTTTTTTTCAGCTTGAAACAGTAGGCCCAAATGACCAGGGTTTCAAGCCTGAAATGTGGAGCTTTGTTCTGGAGGCCGAGGCATCGCCGGGCCCTACAGTGTAATAGGAATGTGAGAGTGCTCTGCTGCATGGTATAAATAAATAACATAAAAGACCAGGCCGATTGCCCCAGCAGACCAAACGGCCCTGGCTGCAGCATGTTGATTCTCCAGAGACAGACGCGAAGGATAAAGAGGATCCGTTGACAATAATTATCCTTATTTGTTTCTCCTCACAAATACACACAGGCTAAAATGGTTTCATTACCCAGTTAGAAGAGCTGGCATTCTGCAGTAGTCCTTCCAAGAAAAAGAGAAGATAATCAATACCAAAAAGGCATCATGGGGCTATTTTTCATACACAATCAGGTTTGATGTGTCTTTCTAAGGTGATATTCACAAACATTTTCACATGCCACTAATTTGCACCATGTGAGTATCAAATAGGTATTTGCACCTGACTGTTGAAAAATATCACTCCTATTCCTATTTTTGTACAGCACACTGAAGTTTCAGGCGCTTTAGAGCACCAATACTTGCTGTCGCTGCTAGTTCATTGGGCCTGAAATGGTTCTTTAGGAACTGTTACCTATCCAACAGGAAAAATGGTTGTTCCAGACAGTATTAAACCACCAGGTGATATAAGAGATCATAATAGTTCACTGAACAGCTCTTTCAGGTAGGTAGCAGTCGCTCAATAAAGCAGCCTGTGGCCCATAAAGAACATATGAAGGAATCTCTTGTATTACAGCGTTGGTTGTATGAAGAGACCTGACTGTTGTATGAACAGAAAAAACAGAGGATTTTAGTAGAAACATTACAGTCCTGAAGGCTGGTGTGTGTAGAGTAGCAACACAGATCTCACTGTACTGGTACTACAAGTGCTAAGTGGGTGAGCCTGTCTTTGTCACTGTTTCCTCTGTGTGTGTGTGGATAGTAAATAACTGAAATGAAGGCCTGATGCAGACAGGTGATCATTTGGTCATCTAGTGTGAAGGACGAGGGTAGCAATAGCTACAGAGACAGAGCGTGTAAGTGTGTGTGTGTGTGTGTGTGTGTGTGTGTGTGTCAGCTCTGTTCGTACACGTTCATTCACCACGGCTAATAAATCAGAAGATTTTTTTTTTGTTGAATAATTCCCACATTCAAAATAAAATTGGAATAATAACCATTTACCAATATTGTTTTATGTTTGTTTGATCCCAGTGTGTGTCTCATAATCCACATATCCAAGTCTTTTGTGTCGAGCATTTTGTCTCTTTCTGATTAACAACTCAGCACATTAAAGCGAGGAGTAAAATCATTTTTGCAACATAAAAATGTTGCGTTCAGAAAAGCAATTTAGCAGGTTTCACCCCACAGTAATTTCACCCATGTTCTGTTTTAATGGCTTTGTTTTGCAAAAAAAAAAAAAGAGCTCACGAGAGTCAGAACGCTGGAGAGGAGTTCATAAATTGAATTTTAAATTTAGCAGTTGAATTACTATTGTCTCCCGTGCCTCCTCCCCCTTCTCCATTGAATGGCATGCCCAGATGAACAAAAGTGAAAACACATTTAGAAAATAAAAAACAATTTCTGTATATTCCCTCTAGTGTTTTATCTGCTGTCCCTCCTGGCACAAACACGATTCACTTCGTGTCATATTCATAATTTTTTTCCTAAGTACAGCCATTTCTCTGAGGGAAAAAAAAAAAAATGTTTCAATTTGTCAAGAATTGTTGTTGGGGAATTTTTTCTGCCTGGTGGTGTGAGGGAAATGGTGGGCATATCTCTAGGAAAAGGCTACAGTGGGCTGAAATCTCATTTAGTGGAACTTGTCATGAGAGCAGATATGAGGCTCCGTTTGGGGAGGCGGAGAATTCTTTTATTTTATTTTGGTTTTTGCCTCCATGGACAGGTGTGGATAATGCCATGTGTAGAAGATGGACCAATGTATCAGAGAGCTGTATATAATTTTATTGTGGCTGTTTTATTTAAGAGTTTCCCACAAGTGTGTGAGAGAGATGAAAGAGCTCAACAGTGTAATATTCTGCTGATACACATTTCTGTGCATGTGTGTATGTGCGTTTAATGTGCGAGTGTCCACTTCTCTGCTCCAAAAACTCTGAAGTTGTTTTCTGTGTCCATTGCCTTTCTAAGTGCAGCAGTTACGGGTTTTTATTTTATTTTTTTGCAAGCATGCGTGTACACTTGGCAGCCGTGTGAGGGGATTTACTTGTGTCGTGTTCAGCATTTTTGGCAAACAGAGGACCTCTAGGGATAGATTGGGAACTGGATGGAGCTGGGGAGGGGGTGTGTGTCCTGTATCACAGGTGGCACAGTGCCCTGGATTTTTAGGAAGCGCGAGAGTGTCGCCCTTTCACTGGAGATATTGCTTAGCGAAGCCAGTGTATGTGTGTGTCTGGCTTGTGGGGTGTTATGAGTGTACAAGCATGTAAGCCGGTCATGTGTTGCCCTCCGCTCTAGTAAAAATGGCCATTATCGCTACGTCAGAAACGTATGACCAACGTCAGTTTTAGCACATCAAAAAAATCTCCAAAACTAATTCCAGTTGGTATAACTCTGTATATTGCTTAGTTCAGACACTTGTCAGAACTTAATCTATTTTAGTTGCATTCTGAATTAAGTTATTAGATCACTCTCATGCCTGTTCAGTCAGGCTCTTCATTGTCTTACTGAGCAAAAATGGGCAAATTATATGATTATTCAAGGTTCTCCCTCCAAAAAGATCCAGTCTGGAACAAATTTTGCTCCTTTAACTTGAAGTTCATCCATCATTATTTCAGAAAAACAAATGATTTTTCTATCAGAAACATTTAAAACTGGTTTTACTCCACAATGGCTCATAACTTTTAATTATTCCCCGATGTGATTTACTCTGATGTTGGCAATCATTTTGTCAGATGACATGTCAGTTTTGTCCTGTGGTTAAATATTTCATTTTAGATCAGTACTGCTGGTACACCTTGACTTTAGCGTCTGCAATGAAGGGAATAATTCGCTTATTTGTAGTTTCATACATGAAGGAGTGCAAAGTAAAGCATACAGTACATGAGCAGGACACACACATAGCAAAAAAGAAAGAACTTTTTCTCTTTCTTATGATTTGACTCTTGAAGTCCTGGTGATGAAGACCTTTGCAGGATAACCCCCTCTCCTCACACACACCCACATACACCGCCATGCTGTGAAATAACTTTTAAAAACCCAAGAGTACTCATTCCTCTCTCTCTGTGGCTTTCTTTCTCCATCTCTCTCACTACCCAAACACACACACTCTCTCTCTCTCTCTCTCTCTCTCTCTCTCTCTCTCTCTCTCACACTGTGTGAAATAGCCCAAGCTCCTCCACGCCTATGCCTCAGCAGACGAAACCACTTTAAAGCTAGAGCGCCGTAACCGTCTGCACGTAACCTGCTGAATAAAGTGCTCCCATCCCCTGACATGTCTTCTTGATATTAGCCTGGCAATATGAGGCAACGGCAATTTCTCTTCTACACTAGACAAGGTGATATTGAGTTGGGGAGAAGAGAGGGAACTGAGGAGGGAGCTGGTGGTGGAGGAGGAGAAGGAGGAGGGGGGTAGTTGGAGATGAGAGAGGAGATGTGAAAGTGTGCGTGTGAGAAACAGTAGGAACAAAATGTCATAAATCACACATGATCCTACACGGCTGAGACAAAAGGGAGAAAGCATGAGAGGAGAGAGGGAAGATAGAAGAAGTCCACATTATCTGCCGGCAGACAGACAAACACGCCGCTACAGGTGACGGATTAGCATTAGCCCGACGTGCTGTACTGGATTTTTCCAGTGGCTCACTGAGAGCCCAGACAACCTCTAAAAAGGCTATAAAATACTTACAATGGAACACATTGCCCTTGACACCTTCTCTTTCTTCTCTTTGATTTTGTTTTGTGTTCGTAGAAGAAGCTAGCTCTCAATGTGTGGCTTTGGAGGGCAGGGTACTTTGACTGCTTGACTGCCCTGAATTCCCTCCTGGGATTCAAATGTGCAAAGTTGAAATGCCTCGTGACAATTGCAATGGATTGCAATGAAGTTTGGATCCCTGCCAGACTGTCAACCCTTACCTGTTCTGTTATTTTCATTCAGATGAGCATACACTCAAATGTGATTTCTGTATTATTAGAAATACTATAGTATTTTTGCCTGTTCGCTGTAAGCAACAACATAGTAAGTGCGAGGGAGCGCTGCAGGGTGATTATTGGCACTGCTGGGCTGTGGTTGTGGGAACAAGGCCATGTAGTTTTTATTGCTATTGCTTCCCATCGCTTTAAACAACATTTACAACACTTTTAAAACCCTTTCAGACATTAAAACAAAGATACAAGCTTCAGGTTTTAATTAAATTATTTTATTTTGGCCCTCCTCCAGCAAAGTTAGCTCGTGATAGCTATGCAATAAACATCTTTGCTTACTTAATTCCATTTGTAGTTCCTTTATGACCTGTAGACATTAATTTAAGGCTTCCACTCGCTGTGTAATTATAAAATAAATCAATGGCAACTGTGGTTTGGAGTGTGTGCATTAAGTGGACTTCTGTCAGGGGTTCCAACTTGGCAGACGGTGGATTCATTTGAACGCGTCTCAGCCAATCACAATGATTCCATATCATTAATCCCTCTTATTTCCGTCTACAGGTGTCCTCCATGGACTTCATGGCGATGAAGCGTTCGCAGCTGTACGGCATGGCCAACAATCCCTACTCCAGCCCACAACAGCCGGGGCCTTATCCTCCTAGCCAGACATACACGTCACCTCCTCCACACAGATATCCAATGAGCATGCAGGGAAGGGGTCAAATGGGCATGGGCGGGATGCAGTATCCTCAACAGCAGGTATGTCAACAACCCCAACGCTGCGTCCCTGTACGTGTGCGTCTGTGTCAATGTGATTCATGAATGAGTCAGGCCACTCTGCTGTGCCGATCCAGATAATGTGGCTGGTATTATAAGCGATATTGCTGTGGGACATTTGCTTCTCCTCGTGAACATTCTCCAGCGATTTTCCCCTGAAGGCTTGGCATGTTCAATTTGAGACGCAGCCTAAAATACCAGGCAGCACATCTCACACCCTGGCATGTGGTGGTGTCGCTCCTGTTCATCAGTCAGCTCCCCTTAGACCCCCAGTGGGGCGAGATGGGTTTTATGCTGTATGTTTGTTTGTGTATATGTGTGTGAGTATGTGTGTGGTGGAATGCTCTCTGTGTAGTAAACATAGACACAGCACAGCCGAATAGACGTCACAGTCTCTCTGTGCGACACAATAGGCCTGTGTTGGAGACAGCAGTGCTTCTGTCTGCTTTATTGAGTCTTAAGTAAATCCCATTTGGACTGGAAGGGTGTGTGTGTTAAAGGGAGAGATGCAGAGAAAGAATGTATATTAATCTGTGTGTTTTATGTGCATGTGTTCACATTTCTGGCAGACAGCAAACGTCTTCTCTGTTTGTTTGTATGTGTGTGTCCAGTCCAGTTCCATCAGTGTAGTAGTGAAACAGCAGTACTAAGCGCCACAACGAGAGAGGGGGGAGTGTCCCCTGCTGTCACTGCCAGCTATATATAGTCAGCCTGGTCTGTTGGTCTGGACTTCAACACCTCTTACTGAGGCGAGCAAGCTTGCACACATACCAAGACAACAGAGAGAGAGAGAGAGAGAGAGAGAGAGAGAGAGAGAGAGAGAGGAGGGAAACAAAGATGGACTGATTGACAGACTTCCTACATTGTCTTAAAATACTGTACAAATGTCACAGAGAAAATGGGTGTGAAATTCTCATGTATTTAGATGGACTCTCTCACACAGAATTTTCACAAAGTGCAGTAAAGATAAACAGTATGTTGTAGTTTGTTGAGGAAAACACCATGTGGAGGTAGAGAAGACAATATCAATTAGGCATTGTGAGAAGTGCACAATGAATTAAGGGTTGCTACACGTGTGGCTTTGGAGGAGCCTAAGAGGATGACTAATCATGTCGTCAGGGTTATCTCAGCCCCCAAATATATGGAAGTACTCCATTAAAAAGAGTGAACTTTTTTAAACATACAATCAAAATGATATTTATATTTTTGTATTAATGTTTTTTTATTTTTTGTCATGTTATGTGTATGGTTATATTTTAGCTATGGGTTGCACAGACTACGTGTGTTTATAATAATAATAATAATGTGAATTGAATTGATCTTTATTTTGGTAAAAAATAGTTAAACTGCTACAAAATACCTGTGATCAAGTTATATTACCTTTATCACTAAACAAAAAATAGTCATGCTAAACCACTAATTTACTTTATCAATTATGGTTCATTTTGTCTCAGTGGTCAGGCTTTCCTCTGCAGTCCTAACAGCCAAACCTCATCTGACGCATTTTGATGATGTCACACACTCCCAAAATTGCATTATTAAGCCTGCTCAGGGGTTTTGCGGTGTTATATACACACAATCGGGAGCCAGCGGGGGTGTATATATGAAGACAGGCAGTGCATAGAGAGTAATGCCGACTGACGCACAGTAACACGCACAAAAATACATCCCTGGTACTGTTTTGTGATGAAATCCTCGGGCGTATTACATAGCCCGAGCGTAGCGCTATGGAACGTAATTAGTTCAAATAGAATTAGTTGTTCACTCTGGCTATAGCCATGGGAAATGCGCTTCTAAAGTTTCTAATTATCTGGCTCTGGCTTTAAAAGCTGCACCACTGCATTGCCTATCTGCAGCCGGTGAAATCTAGCTCACAGTAATGAGTTCGGAGGAGGAGGTTTAATTCCACATTCTCAGATGAGCGTAATGAGCCTCACCTACAGAAAAGCGGTCAGGGGTCTGATCAAGGAGGAGCGGGGAGGGCTAAAAATGAATGCCCCAGATGTGTACTGCAAAATACATTGTATATCAAGCCTTAAAGTGACTATTAATCACATATCAAAAGATGTACCAAATGCAGTTAAGACGGACATGATTGCAGCTCTGTCGGGAGGAGGAGAAATCCACCACCCCACCCTCTTTCTGAAACTCAGATATTGCAAAGCTGTCCCAGGATCAGCAAGGGGGATTGTGGGTGATGTAAGACACACACAATCCCCCATGATGCATCGCGCTTCTGGGCTGAGACCTCAGCTTGTCACAGCCAAGCATGCTGGGATGTTGCCAGGCAACGTGACGTCAACAGTGAAATGTTTACGTCTATCTCTGTGACTTCCCCAGGACTGAGTGACTGCGTGTGTGTGTTGGGGGTTTTAGCAGAAGAACAAAAGGTCCTCTTTGACTTGACTGCCTTTCATTATTATGATTAAATCCTGCTAAAATTTAGCCCCACTTGTATTAAATAATACGTCCACAGCAATACATACATTTCATCCCGTGGCGCTATTGAATATGTGTAGTGGCTCACCGCCATCCTTTTTATAAGACTTACACCATGGTATTAGCATGTAACAGCTTGGACATATGGTACAGAAGCACTTCAGATCACTTTGATTTCACCTGGTTAGAGCAGCACTCCAGTTATTGCAGTAGGTTTTGAATTAAAGTTATCTTATCCTCAGTGATACCTAGCAATACGATTTGTAAGATAACTTTTTGTTGTCTGTGCTTAGGTTTTGAAATATCAGACTTTGACATTTCTGCCACCACCCCAGTACAATGAAAGTGACTTGAATTCTGTCTCTGGTGCTAACAGTTTCATGTCATCTCCCTACTATTGCTATCTAACAAAAGAATAAAATGCCACAACATACAAAAAACAAAACAAAAACTATTTACCTCCATTGCACTGGGGTGAAGTCAGAAATCTCTGAGATGATGGATGTCTCAAAAAAAAAAAAAAAAACTGTCTGCGTAGTTTTGGTTTTCCCCAGCAGTAAATGAGAAAACATGTTTTTTTTTTTCATGTGTGATGTGTGTGTGTAATTTGAGTGGAAAGGCTCTTACATTATAACAAGAATACGTATAACTTGATCACAACTTTCTGTAATGTCTGTGGCATGTGTACACCCAAAATTTATTATTGTTTTTGTATATTTGTTTGCACATTAAAATATACAGCTATGTTTAAGAAGCAATATCGACACAGTGACATTTACATACACAAACACACTAACACCTACGTGGTGAATAGACACTTTCACATATCCATAAAAAAGAGCTTGTGCAGGAGAGGTAGGAAACTAAGATTGCTTACACAGACCTCTCCTATAGTTCATGTAAACACCTTGCCTGAGCTTTTACCTTAATCTGGTTGTTTACGCTGCTATAGACATGCTGTGTGTGTAACCCCAGAGGCTACATGTGACCTCTTCAGTGCAGGTTGAGTCATCGTTTCTGGGGGACCTCCTGTTTACCTGTTCAGGCCCTCAAGCTTAATGTCTGGAGCGCTCTCTGTCTCTTCCACACACGCACAGTCACGTGCAATACAGTATTCCTATGCACATGTCGACGTGATCGTACATGCACGCTCCCACACGCTCTGACACATTCTGAAGGTGCAGTTCACTACCAATTAGGTACTCTGCTCTCCTTTCCTTAATCCAGCCATAGGAGGCAAGCACAGACACCGATCTTACTGTTGATGTCTCAGAGAGAGAAAAAAAAACTTTCCTACCAGCCTCCAGCAAATAAACCTAGAACTTGCATTAGGCGCAGTTAGCGTCATGCTGCATCTGCATGCATGTGTGTGGGAGAGGTTGAGAGACAGTGTGTGCCTGCGTAAGAATGTAAGAGACTTTGCGTGTGTGTGTGCATGTGGAATGATGGGAGCCAGAACAAACATATCAGAAGAACAAAAAAAAGAAGAGGAAGAGGTGGAAGTAGAAGAAGGAGGCGGGCGTCTTGGGGATGACAGGCCACACGAGAGAAGCGTCTGTTTGGGAAGCGGAATGAAGTTGAAAGCGAAAAAAAACAAAAAAGAGCGCTGCCAATTCTTAGCGTAATTTCCTGTGATTTCAAAGTTGGCAGACGGAGAAGAAAAGGAATTTGGAGGAAACATTAGTGTTTGATGTGAAAAGAGGGGAGCGGTGATGGAGTGGGAGAAAGAGCAGAGGGAAAAAAAGATATGTTGAGAAATGAAAAAGGGTGAAAGGGAAAAAGAAAGTATTATATAGTGTGTGTGTGTGTGTGTGTGTGTGTGTGTGTGTGTGTGTGTGGAGGGGGGTCAATGTGTCAACGAGTCAGGCAGAAACCATTACCAGTGTTGGCTGTTTGTTCCTCACACACTGGGCCAACTTAATAGAAGCCAAGCATTTAAAGTCAAGTGGAAATGTGGTTGACCCGCCACCAGCTCAGTCCAAACAAACCACAACACCCCTTCCAGAGCCCGCTGTCCTGGCTTTGTATACCTTTTATCAAGTCACACTCTCTTTTTAAAGATTCTTTTTCAGACATGACCTTATTCAGTAATGATCAGTGGGCAAAGAAAAACTGAAAAACATTACATATCTGTTCTATTAAAAAAAAGCATGTGTTTCTTTCAACTGGGAAACAGCTGTGTACATTCCTAAATAATAAGTAACATTTCAAAATGGCTCTGCTCCTTAGTTTTTATTCACTTCATGTGTTTAATTTATGCAATACAACAATATGTTTTACTGTGGTTTTCAAAACAGCTGAAACCACTAAACTAAAACCACTGTCAAGCAATTTTCAGCTGTACGTTTAAAAGTTGTAGCCACTCAGTAAAGCTTTATTTAAATTAAATCTTTATAAAAAATATATGTATATGTATGTTTGTGTATTTATATATATATATATATATATATCTTTATCTTGTGGTATAGTAACGGAATAGGCCGTTTTCACAGAAGACATTTTAACATGTCACAGTAGGAATTCCATTTAGCTGCTTCAGTTTC